CCACCACCAAACAAATGTTAAAATGTAGAAGATTTTCTCTGCATTTAGGCCCTGCGATGGACACCTCTCCAGGGTGTACCCTGCCTTTTGCCCGATGTCAGCTGGGATAGACTCCAGCCCCCCGCGACCCTGTGCGCAGGATAAGCGGTTGACGATGGATGGATGGATGGATTTTCTCTGCATTTACTCAAAATGCCTGTGGCTCAGCTTGTGTAGCAAACTATCTTTGATGTGACAATATTTCAAAAAGAAGAGGAGAAATAAAGAGAATGAAAAAAGACAAGACAAACCAGGAGAACAAAAAAGGTGGAGCACTCAGATTTATCTTGGATTGCTGAGAGCGCTTGCTAAAATCCAAGAAATGTGGAGTTTGATGAAATACAAATGAAAAGAAAGGCTGAAAATTGAAGAAAAAGGTGTGAGCAATATGAATGCTGTTCCCATCAAATCAACCTGAATGCACTGCTTCCCCCAACCCCCGCTTATTTCCTTTCATCCTCCATCTCTCTCCCTCCATCACCCGCCCCCTCCCATCATTTCTCTTTCTTTATATCTCTCGGCTTGTCTGTTCCAGGATAAAAATGCTACGACTGTTTTCAAAGACAGAAGACCAGGTAGAGAGGTAGATGTGTTAGTTGCTAAGGCAATGACAACTGCTATTTGAAGCACACCAGATTGATGCGCCCAGATGTAACGAGCACATCCTCATATACATAAGCACATTCACCTGTATTGCCAACATTTGAGACTGTGCATGGGCTTGAGTGACAAGCTGTTTGAAGACATCAGTAAGGTGAAGTGGGCCGCATACTATACACTGGGGGCCACTTCAAATGAAATTCTAGCCCAGAGATTGCAGGTTTGACATCTCTAAAGCTTTCTCCTCATCAGAAGCATTGGAGGAGCCCTGAGGGGGGTGGAAGGCTTGTTTCGTCCGACTCTCCATTGGGATTCCCTGAAGTAGAACTGATTGAGTCAGCTTTAGGGTCAGCCTCATTTCATTACAGCCATTTCATGAGAGGGATCCAAATTTGATGCTTAAACCTAAAATGAAATTCTGTTGTCTTGTATGCAGTGAAAGGATGGATGGATGGAATTAAATGAAACATGTGCTCCAGTGAGATTAGGCATCATATAGTTTTGGACCAGCTTTGTCACATTAACCCCTTCCCACTATGTGACGCAGTTTGTGTCAAAAAAACCCACACTGCTCCTTCTCAGAGTCAGAAGTCAGTGAAATCTGAACACACAGACATGATCTTTTCCAAGAATATCATTACTGATGTCCATCAGGTAATAAACGTCCATAAATCTGCTTAGAAATGATTTTACAAAAGATGCCCCTGATAACTTGCAAGGAAATCATCACTTTCTAAAATTACTTCTGTATCACAGTAATCTAGAGAACAGGAACTGTTAATTCAGCATACTTTTAATGATGTCAATTTGTCAAAATGCAAACAAGTATACAGTACATAAAATGCTACAGGAGTGTTAGCCTACAGCATATCTCGCTGAATCCATGGCGACATTATCACTTCAAAGTCAGACATTTTGTCTTAATTTAAATGTAATAGGAGTGTCAAAATCCATTTAGATTAAATGTGTTCATGTTGAGGTGTTACTGTATAATTTGTTTGACATTAGCAAGGCTCAGAATGTCCCATCAACTTGGTTCTTATATTCCTGAAGCACTGACCTCTATCCATTCATATACAGAGATTGGCCTTCTGTCGAATGGACATACAAAACAAAAACTAAAAGAATTTAAAATTCCGTTTAGCTGCATTAAACTGAAAACATATCAAGTAACATGCAAATTGATAACATTTCTAAGTAGCTCAACCTATTCTGAAAACAACAATATTTGGCATACATATAATAACTAAAGGCCTGCAAGTGAAGAGAGCAAAAATCCATTTGCAAACAGCCTACACATGCTACATCCCAAAACTCTGCAGCCAACCATTGATATAGCCTCCTCATTACAGGGTGCATTGATTAAGGTTATTGATCCAACCATCTTATCCATAAGATAAACCATCAGATCTAGGCCAACAATGCTGCTGGCCAGTGCCATGACAAAGGCAGTATTTTAATGCTCTGGGCTATAAAAAGAGGTTTGAGGCAGCAATTGGAGGTTTGGTTATCAAGGGTTCTTAGTTTTTCCTGCTGAGCCGAAAGACAGAAGAGAGAGATGAAGGAAAAAACACGGAGTGGTTTGAGTAAAGCACAAAAAAGAGGAAGAGCGATGTCGCCTGCTACAGACTTCCAGCTCATCAAGCTATAAAAAACAGGCCGCTGGTGACAGAATGAGTATCAGGAAATCAAGGTGACGGGTGGAAAGAAGAAAGGGTGTTATGCTATTTGTGTCAGATCGTGTTGGTGTGATAGGATTAAATGGTGTGACACTGACACTGTTATCATGGGATGCATGTAATGACGGCGACAGCCACATGGTGTAATCTACCCTCATCAAGCGACCCATTAGCAAATCACCTGCTAACACTCGCATCATTAACCAATCAGCAGGTCATCTGACAAAGCATAATCACACGCTTTCACCTCTTATCAGTCTGTCCATATGTTTTGTCCTCATCAGCCGGACTGAGCTCCATTTCATAAAGTCTTTCTCCAGTGTGCTCTTGTTCATCTGCTTCAGCTGATCTGACATGATTATCTATTTAATATTTACCCATGATCCAATCCTAAAATGCCTCTGTGGCTGTTCGTGTATGTAGGACAGGCTCATATTTGCACAAGGCATCTCAACTATTAAAGCTGCTGAGCAAGATCAATACACTCTCAAATCCTGCTAAACAGAGACAGAATAAAGAGCACCATCCCTATCCTCACTGAGAGGCACTCACTGGTCATGAGGAAGCACTGAGACATAAATACAAAAGGCCCTAAGCAGTCCGCCTGAAGGCACAGATACACAGCTAACCAAACCCAACATTAAGGATGCTGCAAGCAGTGTTGTCGAGATGCTTGAGCCTTGACCCGACTATTGTGCGGACATTAATTAATCCTTTGATATATGTGTGTGTGTGTGTGTGTGAGACAGAAATTGGACCAGTAAAATCTGAACACATATTTTCTTGCTGTTGACATTTTGCTCATCACTCTCTCTGAACTGTGCTTTCTAATGTGTTCTGTTAAAAATGTTGTTGTGATTAGGTCTACAGGCAAACATCTCTCTCTCTCTCTCAATTTTTCCCTCTGTCTCTCACTCTCTCTCTTTAGTTGCTGCAGCCACTCCAGTCAGTGCCTTTGTTACCGTAGCAACCAATAGCAAATCTAGGCAGAGATGTTCTATTGCAGTAGATGAAAAAGTGAGGAGGGTGGGTTCGCCCTTAAATGCACATACGTGCAAGCATACACACATGCTTGCGCACACTGATGCATAAACTTAAGCATGAACCCAGAATCATGGACATTCATATGAGCGTGCATAAACACATACATGGACACAGATATAAGGAGGCGGGGGTCCCCTCTCTCCCAGCAAGGAGGGGGATGGGGGAGCTGCAAGCATTTTGTCTCCACATTATCCACTGCGCTGGCAAGTCAGCATAGCTCATTTGAAATCAATTGGTCAGCAATGGAAAATATTAATTGAAAACACAACAGTGAATTTATTACACATGTTCACTGCTAAGCCTTTTTTTATAGGGTTTCATTTCAGAGAAGTACAATATCAAATTAATCTATCAGCCTGCATGAGCTAGCTGTGTGATTGTGGTTCTGTTACACACTGACTTTACTGGGAATAAGGTAAGCTGTAATGCCACAAACGTGATTACTTGAAGAAGTATGCGTATTGGTAGCCATCTTTTTAAAATGTTTTTTTGTCAATGGAAACTGTGACACTTCCTCTGCACGATTATTATGACAAGTTGATTTACAATTAAAGAAAAAGATGGATCAAGAAAGGCTTCAACTGTAAAAAAAAACCCCAAACCAAAAACAACAACCAAAAAAACAGCAATATAGAAACACGAAGACTCGGCTGAAACAGAATCCTTTGCACCCTCTTCTCATTTGTAACACACTTGGTCCTTGAGGACAGTGTGCAGGTTAAAGCCTGGAATAAAGTAAGATGGCCTGAGGGTATGAACACATACATGGGCTAAACTGAGAGAAGTGGGTCACCTTCACACTTCAGTACTCAACCCTACAAGCATTATAGCTTCATTAATAGACTTAAAACAGATTTCCACTGAAAAGGGAAGGGGCTCGGACAAAATGTAACTGTGAGAGATTTCAGAATGATTTTCTTACTATGGGACAGTGCTGATTCCAGATAGTAGTAAAAGTTTAGAGAAACATTATATGGCTCCACAAAATAAATCTCTCGCTTTTCCATTAACAACACCAGGAGGTGCATTCTGTCAGGTGTCTCGCCTCAAGCTTTAGGACAAAGTTGTTAGGAGTTCTAAATTTAAAGAAGCAGCTATTTCAAATTTACATCATACTCAT